AAACTGCGGGGGAGGGGTGGGGGGGGGGGTGGAGGGGGCAGTCCGCCAAGGCCCTCGAGGCCTCTGGTGATGGGGTTGGACGGCGAGAGTGTGGGAAGGGATGGGGATCGGCTCCGGCGAACACACAACCCTGTATGCCTTACTATTCCCACGGGGAATTTTCTTGAACACATACCTGAATACTGGTAGTTTTTGGCAATTAATCCATTAGAAAGATAGTTCAACAAATGATTTAGGGAAACTGTTGAAAACACAAGGCTACAACCAGCACCTGGATTGTCCTTTGGTACGTACCTAGGTATAGCTGGCAGTGCTATGCGTGATGAATACTTAGATGATTTACTGTGGTGGAGTTGACTTGTGGTCACTTTGGATGGTCAGCAAGGAAAAACTAGGCATTTCTCTCACTGATCTGGTAAGCATCGGCGGCAAGAGAATGATGCATACCCAATATACGTGAACCATCAGTAACGTCGTTGCCAACGTATATTTGTGCTTCTCTAGATCAGAAGCTCTGACTTCAAACGAGTGAGGAGAGCACGTTAACTACATCATCCTTTTGAAGTCAATGTCGACCACTTATGGTGTGCATGCAAGGTAAAGTTGCCAGGTGCGGCCTCTACCGTATAAATATATGGCCACACCACAGGCGTCATCAGATCCAAGATACTCTCGTCGTCTGTGAAAACCTACATATAACTAGCTAGAGTGGCCTTCCGGTCGTCCATCAAGGCAGCTGCCATCGTCGCCGTGTTCCTGTCTTCTTCCCCATGGCAGGCGGCAGCGCAGATGCGCTGCAGCAGGTGCACCGAAGACTGCAACAGTGGCTGCGATGGCTCCAGTAGCAGCATGAGATGCAGCAGGACCTGTGCCACCCCGACCTTGGAGTGCGCCAACTGCCAGAGATGCATGAACTCCTGCTTAAGCTACTGCTAGTCCACCTGCGTAAATTAACAGCCGAACCAATATTCTTATCGAAGTACTCCTGGGGATTCGTGAAGTTAATAAGCAAGGGCAAGGTTGCAAGCCGCAATTATGTATTTGTCTTCGGATGTGGAAAGTGTTGCATGTGTTTTCTTGCATGGGTGCTTGAGTGCTTGTCCATTTATGTTCTGTTCTGTCTAATATATAATTATTATGATATAGTATTGCTTAATTACATCTCACGGTCCCCCTCACCCTCGGCCCCCCTCGGCTATTGACACATGGCACTTCTGTGCGAAACGTAGCAGACAGTTTATGAAGGGGTGGGGGGGCAACCTTGGTCGCGATGCCAGAGAGCGCAAGAAGGCGCTGCTTACCGCGATCTAGGCCCTTGACCTTCGGGCCGACATGGTGGGTCTGTCTCCGGACAAGTGGCTGGCCCGCTATGACCTCGAAGACCAACTCTCCGTGATCTACTCTGATGAGGAGGCATATTGGCGCCTTCGGGGCACTCAGAAGTGGGTCCTGAAGGGTGATGCGAATACTGCATACTTCCAGGCTATCGCCAACGGCCGCCGTAGACGCAACACCATCCCCCTCCTCTGGGATGGGGAGACCCTTCTTCAGGACCCTCGCGACATCCGGACTCATGTCGACGGCTTCTATAGGTCCCTTTTCTCTGCCGCTCCTCGGAGCGGCATCTCCCTCGCCCATGATTGTTGGGCCGGCATTCAGTTGGTCTCCGACGCGGAGAACGCGGCCCTGACGGCCCCCTTCTCTGAGCAGGAGGTCTGGGAGGCTATCAAGGGTATGAATGCCTCTTCTGCGCCGGGCCCAGATGGCCTCCCGGTCATTTTCTTCCAGACCTTCTGGAACGTGATTAAACCGTAGGTCATGGCCATCTTCGAAGAATTCTTTGTTGGATCTATTGACCTGGGGCGCCTCAACTACGGGATCATCTCTCTCATTCCCAAGGTCCCTGGGGCGTCCGAC